TGGGTTGGAGGCCATTGCTATTGGGTTGGAGGCCATTGCTATTAGGTTGGAGGCCATTGCTATTGGGTTGGAGGCCATTGATATTGGGTTGGAGGCCATTCGGTTTCCCTCTGTCACGGGCCCTGCTCCTCGGACGGCTCACGAGCTCGGAAGCGACGGACTGAACCGACGTCGAGAGGCTCAAATTGAGGAACTCCACTCCGCAGGAATGGCCGAAGCTCTTGGCTTCGTTGCCAATTCCGCAGCTCCTCAAGCTTGGAAAGACGGCCAAAACAAGGGGTGATGGGAAATCTGATCACACATGTTCCATGCGTTCATGCTTGATTTGGAGGCATCTGAAAGCAGGGCGGAAGAATTCTCTAGACAAAGTCTTCATCCCAAGCAAAATTAGCAAAGCTGACGCAACCCCATCTGGAGCAATGTTATCATGCAAATCCTTCCCTCCTTGTCTGGATCTTTCAATGCTTCCAAAAGCTTCTCTGGTGCCACATTGAGTGCCTCCCAAAATGAAAACCGGATATATATATATATATGAGAAACTGGCAGCGTCAGTGGGAGGTGAAGGTGTCCCAACCAAAGGGAACTCAACGCAAAGGACCAACCAAAGCTCGAAGCTGCACAAGTTTCTTTTCCTCGACCACCTAGGCCTAGGTCCATGAAGGTCCAGTGGTAGTGCAGATAACCCATCTTACGGGCTATGTTCCATTTTTCCATATCACGAGAAACCTTCCAATTCCGGAGCGCTCGAACCGCCTCGAAGCGCTTCGTCAGAGCTTTGAGATCATTGGGATTCTCTAAGCCTTCGAAGTGTGCGGCCAAAGTCGAGGCCGCAAACTCTTCGGCGACACCGTGCTCCTGTGCCACCAGCAAGGCGGTGTTCACATCCACCTCGCTCGATGCTTTCGACTACGAGTCGGTTGGCGATGAGTCGTTTCACTCTGCTTCCTTGTCATTGTGACAGCTATGACATAGTCGTTTCTGGTCAGTAAGACTCCAGCAGTATGCACGATTCTCCGATCCAGGCGAAATCGGATGCCGAGCTCTTTGCCGATGGCAAAAGCTCGTGGAAGCTTTTCTTCAAGGAGGAACTTTGCCTGGTCTATCTTCGCAAATTATTGCAACAGACCAAGTGCTTTAACGAGGATTGCACCGAGACTTTAAACTACACAACGCTAGTGACAGCAAACAAAGTAGTTGTAGCTTTCAGCATGAGCTGCTCGCACTTGGAACATACAACTACGCTCAGGCGACGCGATGTGGCCTTTGCTGAACCAAAGCTTTTGCAGTAATCCTGCCAGTCAGTACCATCCTGACAAATGATCAAAGAGACCGTACAAGGGGAGCTCTAACAAACCAGAAGAGCAAAGCCCAGAAAGACAAGTATAGTAAAAGCAAGCATCTGATGGATATCTTCCAGGTGGATCGAACTCAAAAGGAAGAAACTCGATCTTGAAGTCCAATCCACTGAAGCGCTCTTTTGCCAGCTGCATAGATCGAAGTCCAATAAAGGACCATGGGCACATGAAATCTAAAATGACTTTGATCTCCACACGTGGCATGATGCCAAACAATTGATCCAGGAAATCTGCAGGTTGCGTGCAAACGGTCAGCAAAGAATGAATCAAAGCACAATCACACAAGAATCTACATTGGGACTACGTTTGATTGGCCACCTGGCTGCCCTAGATTAGGAACAAAACTACATGGTCATTGATGCAGCAAATCTTTCTTTATTGGCGAAAGATGACACTGACAATTCGGGTACAAAAACAATTTGGATAAGTGCTGCAATGTAAGTAGGCGCTGGATCAAGTATGGGTTGGAATGATACTCCACACAGTCATATTGTATAAATTATATGAAGTATAAACGCATACAGTGTATGACATATGATGTGGAATGTGGAGCGAGCATACGTTCGGTTCTTCTTTCCTGGAAAGGGAGTTGTTTAAGACAGGCAAGTCACAAGAAATCGCAAGGCAAGTCCCAGTTTGTTTCCTGGATATGTCCACCTCCGTCGGGAGAAACAATGATTTTGATCCCATCGTTTACATGGCTCATTCCCCACGTCTTTCCAGCAAAGCTCAACGGACAAGATTCATGAAAAAAAAGAAACATGCCTTACATGAGGACAACTGACATGCAAATTCACCGGATGCAAGTGCATGCTGCAGCTGCTTAGGGTACTTTTGAAGTTTTCCAATCAATATCCATTCGCAGAGGCGATTAGCTGGCACTTCCTTCGCCATGTGCCTTTTCAGTGTGAAATTCAGAAACGGTTGTCCTTTCTGGCAAAGGAAACAAGGGTTCACTACCTCCCCAAGAAAGAGAATAGTGTACTGTACTCCAGTTTACTGTACTCCAGTTTCAAGTCTTCAGAACAATTTGCAAAACTTAGAGGGCAAAGGCCATGACACACCTTTAATTTCAATGCAGCTGTTGGCACCTCCAGAAAAACTATTGATTGGATTTCTGATGTCTGTCTACTGCACAGTGTGAACATGAAGAATCTCCCCCACCGACACGAAAACACGAATAGCTGGTGATCCCACCTCGACGAGGTCGGCCTTTTCGATGCAACCCACTAAGATGGCACACGGCACTCCATGTGTTTTGGCCTGGAAGAGGAGATCTGGGAAGCACCAAATTTGATCACCCAGTGGCCCAGAGGCACTTGTTTCTGATTAAAAAAGGGTCCACGGACTTCTCCACTGACACATTGCATGCTTCCGACCACTTGAATCGTAACGATGGCACTCCAACTCCCTCCATCACTCACTCGAAAAGCTTTGCGGAAAAAACAATAAATAGAACAACAATAAAATAAACTTAGATCCGCCGACCCCTGCCTAGCTGACGCCTAGGCGGGGCAGGGCCTGGGACACCGCAGGGTGAAACGGTGGCTCAACTTGCTTTCGGCCAGTTGCTCCAGGACTTGTCTGTGACCATCACCTCGGCTGTTGCTACGCGGCTCCGCACCTCTTTTTTCTATAGGGCGCCAAAAGCGACGTTTGAGAGTGGCTGCCGTCGGGCACCCTTTCCGAGCGCTTTTTGGGCTTTTACAGCGCAGGTCTGTGGCCATCACCTGGGCTGCTACTACAGCTATGGCCTTGTCTGGGAATGGCCATCACGTGGGACAGGTCTGTGGCCATCACCTCGGCTGCCTACGCGGCTCCGCACCTCTTTTTCTTAGGGCTCCAAAAGCGACGTTAGACAGTGGCCGCTGCCGTCTGGCACCCTTTCCGATCGCTGTTGCGCGCAGAAATAGATGGTGTCGTTTGCCCGCCCTGAAACCCTCCGCAGCAACATTGCGCCTGCATCCGCGCCTATAGCCGCGCTGCAGCTACGGGCTGTCGTTTGCCCGGCATTGGGCCTTGTGTGGCGCGAGCAAAGGACTGCAGCTGTTCATGGCCTCAGTGGGTCAGCTCTCGCTTTTGCGCGCAGAAATAGATGGTGTCGTTTGCCCGCCCTGAAACCCTGCGAGCGACTCCAGCCCTTTGTGCGGGGCAGCTGGATCAGTTTGTGGCCGTGACCAGCCCTTTTTCGGCCTTTTACAGCGCAGCAGGAGGTCTGTGGCCATCACCTGGGCTGCTACTACAGCTACTATGGCCTTGTCTGGGAGTGGCCATCACGTGGGACAGGTCTGTGGCCATCACCTAGGCTGCTACGATGCGGTCAATATATAGGGGTCGGCCGCACCAGGGCGAAGCCCTTACAATAAAACATGATAAGACATGTTAATAGTAATAAACGGTCCGAGCCCTTGCGACGGTTCAACTCCGGTGGCACCTTGGCCCTCAGGTCACGGACGCTCAAAGGCAGAAGCTCCTGGAACGAAGGAGTGACGAAGCATTTCGTTGAAATTGACGGGAAAACAAGCGCAGTCCAAGTGCGTTTGTCGTAAAGGCTAGAGTTGGCCACCTCATACCAAGAATACCCAAGAGATAGGAATTGTGTTTGGGATTTGGGGCATAGATGCGATTTTACTGATGGCCTTCCAAGCTGACGCTGCTTTGACATGCTTGAGTGGCTATACAGTCCACAGAGTACCCAGGGAGATAAGGACACCTTTGGGCCGCCACAGCCCCACCCAAGAAGCACCATCTAAGACCTTGCGAACGTGTCTCCTCTCGCATCGCAGTGGAACACCGCCCACGCCTTGAACCTAGGCAGGATCGAAACTACACCAGTCATTGTAGCATCAAATTATATCAAATTGTAAAGAACATGAAACTGAATGCACCCAGCAAACGGACCTATCAGTCTCATCAGAGATTGATCAACCATGAAGCCAGCTATGTTGTAGGCATCACACAGGTGGTCCTAACCGACACTGCATGTCTCTCTCGCTGAGTCTGTGGCTCTTTGGAACTTTCAGTGGAGGCTCCTCGCCCTCCTCGCCCTCCTTGCCTGGCAACACCGCGAGAAGAAGTGATGCAAGTGTTGGCATTTTTGGGTGGAGCTCTGCCACTACCGTGTGATCTGCTGTTGTTTGTAGTGATCTGTTGGCGCGTTGGCGATCTGCGAAGCACCTGTGATGTCGACACATTCCTGGCCGCCGGTACTAGGCCATCTGGTTGCTTTCTAAAGATCACTATGATCTGTTGCGGGTGTTGGTCCGTTTGTACGACCAAACATATTGAAACTTCCGATCTGGTCTGAGATCCTCTGCGAGACCGAAAGCACGGTGAAGGCGGCCCCCCGGGGGGGGGGACGCTTTCGCTTGGCAAGCACGTCTACCGACCGCCTGAATCTGCAGGGTCCACGTCAACAGCGGCGACAGGTGCAGGCCGCGACAGCCGCTTCCGCACCAGGCGCCCTGTGAAGAAACGATGCCCCACCGCCGACGGGTCACGAAAAGAAGTGGCCAAAGGTGCACCCTACGGAATTCGCTCGTTGAGTGGAGCAAAGTGAGGAAGAATGTAACAAATGATGATGTGACGCTTGAGGATGCTTTCGCACTTCCATTTCAGAGGTTTCACTTCCAAGGCAGCTTTTGAGTGATTTGAATGCCCACAACTCTTACAAATCAGTCCTTGCCCGAGAGGAGAGCAATCTTCTGAAGGGCTTGCGCTTGCACCTATAGCATGTGCATGGATGGAGCTCTTGCAAAAATCGCAGGTCAACGACTCATGGCAAAGGCTTCACATAGGATTTCTCATTTGTCAGGCTAAGTCTCGTGCTGCGTGCTTCCGACTCTTCCTGTCTGCCCACGGGCGAGTTGAGCGATGAAGAGGACGATGAAGCTGACGCGCCAGGGACTTGCCCTGCTGGTGCCGGTGACAGTGCTGATGCTGGTTCTGACAGTGATGGCAGCACGGACTCAGCTTGACCTCTCGCTTCAAGGAGCAAGACAAAAATCCTCTGGAAGAAACCCGGCCTAGAATTTGCAGCAGCTCTGCCTGAGCTTTCTCAGCTACTTCAAACCTTCTTCCGGCTGCCTCGCTGGGGCATCAACAATATGTTTGCAAAACTTCTTAGCACCTTGGTTCCATTTACCATGCTCCAGTTGATAAAGGAACAATGCCTTGAGCTCATTGAAGAGCTTCGGCAGGATGGTAGCCTTGCAAAAAGGCTTTCTAACAGACCATCAAAAGACTGTCAAAGTCTGCAAGAATCCACGAAGAGGTTGCATGTATGTCGATTCGGACCGGGATGGGGTCGTGCTTGGGACGGTGTTCATTCAGTTTCGGTTGCCAATTCCGAGCACCTCTGTGACGATACCCAGAGCGGCTCGTGGACCAACACCAATGATGGCCTCAAAAGGAAAACTAAATCAGCAACAACCGCAACCTGCAAAAAAATGGATGCTATCTGCGTGAGGTGTCCTTTGCTTCATGTGTTACTTCTCTAATGTTGACTGTAATTTCACTTCGAAGAACAGCCATAAGTGTCAATTGTGTCAATTCGCTGTGTCCAAACCCTTGCTTCTCAAGGGTGTTTAGAATCCGATGACTTTGATGACACCAGTTCATCCACATTGATGTTCCACATGATGTCACCGTTAGGAACCATCGTCGCTGTCCGCGTCGTCCGCGTCGTCCGCGTCATCCACCTCCAACTGTCGGGCATCGTCAGCGGCGAGCGGTCGATGCCGCACGGCTGCCTCGACGGTCGATGCCGCACTTTTTGTTTGCTCACACAGGCGATGGAACACGCTCTGGGCGTCGATGGTCTGGGCGTCCCCCAAAAAGATGCAGTTTCTTTAGTGTCTAAACTTATTTTCTTTAGTTCAAGTCGACCGAAAGCTTCATTCCTTTGGCCTTGGTCCTGTCTAAATCCCCGGTTGTCTTTCGTCTGTCCTTTGGATGTTTCGGCTCGCCTCGAGCTTGCAGGCCATTTGCTCCGGAAGACCAAAGTGGAACTCCAAAAAGCACCTGCAAAGTGGCATGCCCGCATAAACCAATGGGTTTGGTCGTCTACGTGTCCTCTTCCAGGAAGTCTAGCTGAGGCCTCACCCTGTCAATACACACATGCACTTTAAGTATCTTAGTCTTAATCACACCTAAAAAGGTCTAGGCAAACACTGTGCTAGATACAGCAAACAAATCTTCACAGCCAAGACGATGCCTATGCGCGCGTTGTTT